CGAAATAATTAGACATACCTGTTAGGTCTATGCTATCAGTTCCTTTTCTCGTGTTTCACGTTTGTGGGACTCTCATAAATGCAATGTCAATCATTAACATCAACCTTTATCATTTATTTTACTCTTTCCTAAATAAAACTGTGTTTTTCTCGTATTCTCTCACACTCATTTATTCCTTGCATCTTTCTGAGATCATCATCAGGAAGTGGTGAAAAGTACTTTGGAAATAAAAGTGATTTTCATTGTTACAATGCATTTCTTGCATCATTTGATTGTAATACACGGAAAAATATATGTGAAGTAAATATGAACGGTCTATGCTAAAAATAAGCAGACATAATGTGTGTAATTTATATAATCAAACATGGCTAATATATATATATATATATATATATATATATATATATATATATATTTGGTTGGATAGATGTGACCCTGGGTTTCACGCTTTAGCGATCGTCAGACAAACCAAATATGTTAGCTCTATCTCTGATATTGAGCGCTTTCTAATAAGTACCGCGCATATAATATATAAATAATTATACATATATATATTTATTTATATTTATATACACTTTTCATATATATATATATATATATATATATATATATATATATATATATATATATATATATATATATATATTGCTAATATTAGTGGTAAAATATACATAAATATACAAAATATATAAATATATATATACATAGGTGCATAGACATACATGTATATTTTTGAATAAAAATTTCAAGAGCATAGAATCCAGGTAGAACTCAATGCCCAGGACAGCGTAAGGATATAATAAAAAGTCTTAAACACTAATATTCCATGGTTATAATTTATTCCATTTTTATTATATATATATATATATATATATATATATATATATATGTATGAGTGTGTGTGTATGTGTATGTCTGGAGTGTTTCCCCCATGTCCAGCTGTCATCGTTTAAGCTTCCATAAATGTCTGGTAATATATGAAGAACCTCATTGCATGTTAGAGAGATTGACGCTATAGTATCATTCCTAAATGATAATGTCATATATTCTTAATGTTTCGCAAACCTTTCAGTGTATGTCGTATGTCTTTTAAGGAATGGCAACATGAAACTTGAAGTTTCAATATATATATATATATATATATATATATATATATATATATATATATGTGTGTGTGTGTGTGTGTGTGTGTGTGTGTGTGTGTGTGTGTGTGTAGTTCAGGATAAGTTGTTTTATAATTCGCGTGTACAGGTATACTTGTTAGCCTATCTATAAATGTCCACATTTTAATCTCCAAGGAAATATCTGTAAATATGTTAGACACTCCATAGAACAGTTGAATTTTGCTTTGAGCATTGATTACGCTTAAATCGTCCAGTCCTTATGCCGTGTATATCAGGCTATAGAATCAATTTTGATCCAAACAGCCACGGTCACAATGACCTGATCTATAAAAAGCACTTGCTTCTTCTCTATAAATGAAATATTGACAAATTGGACTAGATATTTATATCGTTTTTGCACAGGAAGTTTCAAAATGGCGCCACTAGTATCGGGGCTAAATATCTTCTAGAAACTCGGATTTGGGCCAGCCGCATCAAGAACTAATTCCTTGCCAAAAGATTCACAGAATACATAAAATATAATAACATGTCGATATAATAATTTCAATGTCTGTAAATTTCAGTTGCTCACATATGATTGTTAGTTATATGTTCCAGATATAAGCAGTTTATTTGTAGATAAGCCTTGTAAAATTCAAATAACTGTCTAGTGCAGGGGTGGCCAACCTTTTGATTCCATGCGCCAATATTTTGTACGAATAATTTAAATGTGCCACACATAATATTGAAGCTATGATTCAGCGAAATGTAAATCATGAAATTATTCTTACCTTAATTTAACGAAATCCAGACACAAACGCTCTCTCCAATGCAGTGATAAAGAATGACAAGCATTTTAGAACACAATCCAGTCTACCAGTTAAGCACCCAGTCAACCAAAAGGACAACGTCAGCATTTTTAACAAAAAGAAATGGGACAAACATAAATCAAACTTTTTGCACTTTCGCAAAGGACGTGCAATAAATATCAAATCACTGAAATGAATGAGTAGAAGTGGTTTAGTTTCTTTTCATCAAAAGGATGCAATGCGCCACTTGTAAGCATCCAATGCGCCACTTATGGCGCATGCGCCACAGGTTGGCCATCCTTGGTCTAGTGTTTTCTTCCCAGGTGATTTCAGTGTCACTAAGACACTAGTGATAGAAAACTCATTTCGTAATTTTATAGTGGGATTTCAAAGTTAGATTCACCTGAACAGTTGTTAAGGTGAACAACTGATTTTCTTTTGATTTTTTTTTTACATACGATACCTGTTTATTCGTATCTTGAATTTGACTGTTGATTTAAGAATCAATGAAAATAATGGATTTTATGGAGTTGACATACTAGATCTTTGTTTAATAGACGCTGGGTCCGAGTATCTCTATTTACGCAAACGTCATGTAAAAAGACATCGATCAGGCCATAGGCACGTGGACGAATGTCAGAGGAATTGAAACGCCAAGAACTACAGAGAAACAGACCCATTAATATGCAGGCAATTGCAATAAATAATTCATTTTATTGCCGGTCGGAGAAAGAAAAGAAAAAAGAAGAAAAAAAATCGAAAAATAGTAATTTAAGGACACCATTTACATTTCTTTGGAGAATTTTAAATGCAGACACAGACAAACATCATTCATAATCAATAACAAAAAAATAAAATAAAATAAATGTCTTAAAATATACATCTATTTGTCCAGGACGGTATTTTACAAAGAAAGTTATCGCATTTTAAATCGGGTATATTTCACAAGGTGTCACACGAACCGAAATAGATTTATTTTCTTTAATATAACGTGTTCCTACAGAACGTCAACAATCACGGCACTTCGTATTTCCACATCAATGTAGCTGTAACTAATGTTGGACTCTTTACCACTGACCACGTCCTTGCTCTGCCATACATATACATAAAGGCATTATGTTATACATTAGTTGTTCCATCTATTGCCCTTATGAGTGTTACATTCTCCAAGTCCCTATTCTTCGTTATATGTCTCTCATATGTATAATGCTTCATTCTAATACAAGATCAGTTAGTTAAGGTGACTTTCTAAGCCTAGCTAGATGTGACACAAGGTCGAAAGTATGGAGAATCGAACTCTGTATTCAGTCGTAACTGTTTTAGCGAGACAAGCTTGCTAACCATTACACCACGCCGAGGTGCCGAAGTCAGTCAGTTAACTGACTTACTTTATACACGAGTGGGCGACCATATCTCTTTCGATTCGTTACTGACTAGGCAGAAGATTTTCTCGCAGTAGATTTCAATTTCTTTCTGCCATAGATTGGTTCCAAATAAGGGTATAGAATCTAGTCAGTCCTGCTATTTAACCCATAACTGGGAGGTGTAGAGATGGATTCATATTTTTCGCAAAAGTAAGTGATTGTAATGAAACCGACTGGAATTCGAACTCGGTTCTTCGATTTCTCATTACGTTATCCATTACCCGACACCACCTCTTATAATAAGCATAAGTGTCATCACCTCCCATTTCTATTCTAATTTTCCTTTAAACTTCCTCGTTGTCCATATGTTCTGTTTAGGGCAGTGATTCCCAACCACACTAGTGTGCCGCGCGATCTTCTTAAGTATGCCCCGATAGTAGGATTGGATTTGAAATCCCTTCATAAATGTTCCTTCTAATATTGGACTTCAGTTATGTGAATAATAATAATAATAATAATAATAATAATAATAATAATAATTGGCCACCATTTCTAGCGAACGAGGGCTCAAAATAAAACATCTGACGGTAACCAATGATACATTTTGGATTGAAATACACAAGGAGTACCCCATATTAGTTAAAAAGGCTTTATCAGTTTTATTGCAATTTTCTACTTCTTATTTATCTGAATTAGAATTCACAACCCTAAATAATATAAAAAAATAAGAAGCGAGAAAGACTACGCTCAACTAGAGAAGAAATGAGGGTCTGAACATTCGACCAAACATTGAATAAATCGCGAAAAAAAAAAAAAAAAAAAACGCCAGGCACAGGTTACACGCTAAATAAGCCGCACAAATAGTTGAATGGAAACATTGAAATAAATCAAGTTCATATTTGCGTGTGTGATTTTTAAATCTATATTTTGTTCTTTTTTGTTTTTTGCCTTTGTTCTTTTTTTTTTCTTTTTTTAAGCATTTCACACCAAAGTCTGAAGTGCCACTAGTACAAATGGGGTAACAGAGAGTAAGAGAACTGACTGCGTATAGAGGGGGAGTGCATTGAGGAAAGCATAAAAAGTAGAACGAGGATCAGGACATCAGAAGATGACGATTTCGGTTACATTTACATTTTTGAAGGTTGTAGATATCTGGGAAGCAAATAAGAGGAAGGGAGTTCAGCTGTTGGGAAGTGCGAGAGAAGTTGAAATATAACTCTTTAAAAAAGTTGATAAGTGTGCCGTCATATTTGTATTTGCTCTTAGGTGTGCCGTTAGTTAAAAAGATTGAGAAACACTAGGGCACTCTAATCATCCGTCTGTAGAATCACAAATCTTTCGCTTGAAGTTTCTTTCTCGTCTTTGAGGAAATTCTTTGGTGTATCGAAGGATCAATATGACAACAGTTCATCTCCCCTTTCTTTATCTCTAATGAAATTTTCCTATTTCTTAATACTTTGTTTAGATTTTGGAAGGCATATTTCGCTATCTCAGTGAGCTTTCGGATTTTAGTGTCATATTTTCCGTGATTTATTATAACACCTCCAAGATAGTTAAACACTTACATATGTCTCTTGATGATGTCTTCAATTCGGACTTCAGACATTGCTGCTGTTAGTGAGCAGAAAATCTGTGTTTATAAAGTCAGTGGTCCTCCATTTTTCTTTTATCTTTCTTTTACTACATTGTCCAAGAGATCTTTCCGCTTCATTTCGGAATCCGACTTACGATCATATCACGGTGAGACACCGGTTCTCATCCGATTACCGAAGTTAAGCAACGTTGGGCATGGTTACTATCTACATGTGAGACTGCTCGGGAAACCAGGTGTTGTAAGTTTTGATATGCAGTTGGCGAAATGGATAACGGCTCGGAATTAGAACTCGGAGTTCGAATTCCAATCGGGTTCATTATTTTCCCTTAGAAATACCGTTGGGAAAGTTATTAATCCACCTCTTCTACTCGCAGCTATGGGTTAAATAGTAATTCATGTATCAGAAAATCATTATTATCACCAAAAATCCTTATAATCCAAAAAAATGTTTCGGCTTTAAATAACATTAAAAAGGTTGATAAGATGTAAAAAATAAATCAACCAATCTTTATGAACCCGCCAAAAATGGAGTTACATCTACGTAATATGTTAAAATTTTGGCAATTGACAATAAATCATGGTTTCACTACTATTTCTCTTACAATCACCTCGGTGTATAGGTTGAAGTATCCGGAGAGATGATGCATCCTTGTCTTACGCCTCTTTCAATTTTTGTATATTTTCTCAATAAGTTTCCTATCTGAAGGCAGGTGGTTTCTTCATCGTACATTCTCTAGTTTGTTCTGATGTCTTTTATCTAAATAAATCAAGCAAGAAAACTTGATTTATTTAGTACTTTGTGTAATTAGACAACGTATCAGTTAACGTTATATTAATTTACAAGTACGTTTCAATCCTATAAAATTAATGGAATGTCAACTGTCCCATGATGATTATATCATCAAAAGATAAATGTTGTTACATCTTATATCGAGAAATATCAGAACCCTTTTAAATTTGGAGCTTCGTTATCCTTGAATATATCAGTTTTGTATTTCCGTTTTGGCGAACCAATTATAAATGCCGAATGTATTATCCTAACTACTAATCTTAGGTGTCGGTTAAGAATAACTTTGGGGTACGCTAACCAGATTTTCACGGTAATGGAAGCGTACACGGTAGATAAAAGGGAAATGTCCTTTATGACAACGCAATGCTGCATAGAGTAAGTATAACATAGGAAACATTTTGGAACTTGGTCTGTCTTTTCTCTTCTTACGCACCATAGTCACCTGATCTTGTACCAATTTTTTGCTGTTTCAATCACTGCAAAATGTCTTTAAGGGGGAAGACTTTCTCGAATGAAAACCAGATTCAAGCGATGGTCGACGAGTTTTCTCCATCAAACTTACGGAATTTTACTCTAAAGTTATTCAAGCCTGTTAATTTGAAACTAGTGATTGCAAATAATGGTGACAATATACCTGAGTAAAAAGCAATTTTGTTTCATTTTTTTAGAGTGAAATTGATAAAAAAAAAAACGGAAATAATAATAATATTTTCATATTTGCTGACGGAAAATGTCTAAAATTATAATAAAATGTAATAAAAAATTAAAAAATATATAAAAAATAATAAAGTATAATAAAAACAGAAATTATAATATTCACATACTTGTTTACGGTAAAAAAAATCAATGAAATTATAATAAAATATAATAAAACATGTAAAACGTTAAGAAATAATAAAGTATAATATAAACAGAAAATTATAATATTCTCAAACTTGGTTACGGAAAAAAATAAAATTATAATAAAATATAACAAAAATATAAAACTATAAAAAATAGTAAAGTATAATAAAAACAGAAATTATTATATTCTCATGCTTGTTTACGAAAAAAAAAACAATAAAATTATAATAAAGTATAATAAACAATATAAAATTATTAAAAATAATAAAGTATAATAAAAACAAAAATTATATTTTCAAACGGAAATGATATTTTCATACTTCACCGAAAGAACTGTTATCTGCGATTTTTAGAGAATTCCTTGCAGTTCTGAAATTAAAAAGATCTGCTAATTACACGGCATTTTTTTTATTTTTATTTTATTTCGATGAAAAATCTGTTACAACGGACATAAATGACGGTTGTTCGTGCCTGTAACTAATTGCACCGTGTCTTTTTACGTTCACTTCTACATAAAAATAACGATTGCAATTTGCAATTTCGACGCCGATTAATTACACTAACATTAAGGTGTCAGTGTATTAAACGGAAAGTAACGAAGCCACATGGAAATCACATTGCTGCTAAGAATAGACAATAACCAGTATTTTGACTGTTCGACGTGGAAGAGAAGTCGTAAAATAGTGGATGTCTCTAGTGAAAATGAATAGGAGGGGACAAAAGAAAAACTCCATTGAATAACATTTCATTGCTGTTATATACTTTAACGATAATAACGAAACACTGCTTTAGGGCAAAGTATTTGTAGAGTACTGCACTGGTGTCAGTAAGGTTTGTAATATTAGTAAATGTTTAAACATTAAGTATTTTTTCTTTTATCAGCTGCGTACTGTCATATATTTAAAAAGGGGGAATATTTCCTTGCTTATAATATAATATAATAAAGAAAAACGTTAATAAGTCAATTAATACTGTAAATGTGAAAGCATTTAGCTAAGTAAAGCTAAAGTCTACAACATTGATAATTTTAGCTCACCAGTTTTATGTTCTTTCAGATTTACTCAGTAAAATTAAGATTTGTCCCATCTTGTAAATATTCATTTAAAAATAAATAACAAGAAAAACAGCGTCCGATTACTGTGTCGTGCGAGACAATTTTTCTCTTTAGAATCTATCCTACATAAGGCTACCATTCTTAAATATCTATCCCACATAAGGCTACCAATCGTTCATCCTTAGAATATTGCTGCCACATATGGTCCCGTACTCCTGTTATTTATCAAGAGATTCTGGATAAAAAAAAAACAAACAAACAAAAATCAGCAATATTATTGGTCCTGATCTGGCGTCATGGCTTCTCTCACTGTCACACCTCCCTGTTTCTTTTCTATAAAAAAATAACACAGTAATTGTTCGGAGGAATTCTTCACCATATCACCTGGATTTTTTAAAAAATTTAAGCGCAGTACTAGACCGGCGTCGAGATCTCATCAATTTACAGGTGAGCTGGCAGGATGTAAACGTAAATTCTATGCTAACAATTTCTTCTCTCACACTTCTCAGCTGTGGAACTCTCTTCGAACTTCTTGCTTTCCATTCAGTTTCAAATATTTAAATGCAGTGTCAGCTGTCATCTGTCTCCTTAAGTAATGCTTGTTCTTTTATTGACCTATCTCCTCAATAATGCTAATTTCCCAGATTAGTTCACACCCAGAAATCACTGTAGTGGCTTTATTGCTTTGCTTGGGTAAAAATGATTGGAAAAAAAAACAACTTCTTTCTATGATTTTGATACATATAATACAAATAAAAATATCCACATTTTTCTCTATTAAAATTAAAAAGAATGCTGGCAAATTTACATATTCATACAAGTTTCTATTTCTCAGCCGACGATGAAATAAAAATAGGAAACATGTGATTTTTTTTTCAAACATATTTAACGACTAAGTTCTGAATTAATTCAATATAAAATATCTAATCAAATCGAATATCCTGAAGATATGAGTGCAAATCATCTTCTCCAAGATCTGTTTTGTAACGCACAGTCTTTTCGCAATTATCTCTATCCCATTACTTCAAATCTCGATATACTTCATGCTTTATAATGAACTCTAAAAGTAACTTAAAACACGTTCTCCAAAACACACGGCAAATGAGTTAAATCAATGAATTTGACGATTTCAACAAGTTCTCTCAAAATCAATTTGTAAAAAGGCGCTGTGTATTTTTATACAAGAGGGAGCTGAAATTTAGTTTTCATTTTAGTCCTCAACTCTATGGAGATTTTTTCCATATACAAAATTTAAAGAAATAAAAATGAAAAAAAAAACATCAATTCATTATGTCTTTAGACTCACAATAAAAAAAATTACGTCAGTGAGGAATTAAAACTGAAAGAGTTTGTTTATTTACAATAATTAATGTGAAAAGAACATTTTTATAATGTTCTTCTTTTTACATTAATTACTGTAAATAAACAAGTTACTCAAAATAGTCATTTGAGCGGCCAGGTTAAATAGAAAAATGTCCATACAAAGATGAGGACTCACATTAGATAGTAAATTTAAAGATAAACTTTGGTAGAAGGAGTAACGGCGAAGTTCAAAATGCACTGTGTTTTTTTTTGTTTTTTTGTTTTTGTACGGGGTTGAAAGATCAACGTAGTACCGGAACTCTGTGTAATTGAATAAAGCCGAAATGATTTTTGTTGTGAGAAACTTGTTGAAGCTGGTACACCCTTGTAAAATAATAGTAGCAGCGAGTGAGTTGCCTTGTATCATGAAGGGGGAGTGAATCTGGTTGAGAGTAGCTTCAGATGGACAAGTTCAAAAGCGTCTGCTCTAAGATTTTATGCGTTTTTTTTTGTTTTTGTTTTTTTCACCGAGTAAAAAAGGTTGGTTTTAGTTGCCGAAATGCTAATTTATCCCCAGATTAAATTTCTCATTACTAATCACTGAGAGTCATGTATTCAATGAACAGAAATTGGAACATGATGGCTTCTCCCTTATATTTGCTCCTGCAGGCTCAAAAAGACTTTCAAAATAGTCGCAGGTTTCCTATGCAAGTTATTGATTAGGGGTTTTCTTCTGAATTTCGGACTATTTAAGCAACTAATTGTAAAATAAGTACAGATTAACAGCTTCAAAATTAAAAAATAAAAACGCATAAATCCTTAAACAAGATCTTTCGTCGGTTTTTAATCAAATTAACAGATTTAAATCAGTTAATTTATAATATTTATGCTCTGTAAATTTACATTGATCACTAGTTTGTAAAAATAAAATAATACCAACAAGAACAACGGAATATATATCTTACTGTTCTTTCTTTTATATATATATATATATATATATATATATATATATATATATATTATATATTAGTATTAGTAGTAGTAGTAATAGTAGTAGTAGGCCTCCGTCGGTCAGCGTTGACCATGGGTAGCATCCTAGTTGTCTACTTGGCTGGAGCATCGACGTCAGTAGATGCCGATGCGGATGTGACACGTGTGTGTGTGTGTGTGTGTTTATAATTAAATAGTATTAATTACATTTACAGGCCTGAATTCTCGAGAAATTTCGTAGAAAATATGCATTCTCCGATAGG